TAAACCCTCCGATCTAATGACTCCTCTCGGACCCAGCCTTTCTGACGGCCCCTTTTCGTAGTGCTTGTATCGTTGTTCAGAGACTGTACCTATAGTCTCCATTGTAGTTCCTTCTTGGGGATACCTTATAAAAATCCTTAATGTAGAGTTGGTTAAACCAAAACAAGGAACAAACCCTAAACCCTATATAGGTACTTACTAGACTCGTCATTATTGGTAAACGTAAGCGCCAGGATGCTTGGGAGACCCACAGAGCACAAAGACAAAACAGCTTGCACACACACACACAAACCCGAGGGTTTAGGGTTTAGGGTCCTAGACTCCTAGACCGCGAATCCCTATGGCTTGTGTGGTCTAGGGGTCTATGGGGCCTCGGGGTGTCTAGGGGTGCTAGGATTTCATGAGGCCGTCCAGGTCCAATTTAGACTAACGTCCTGAGTTCCACACAATTTTTCTCTATAAACCCTCTGAGCCTTGAACTCCTGAAGACACCTGCCAGAACCATTCAGGTGCATTGGAGCCGAGATGCGATAGTATCGAGAAGAAATGCCGTCGCAGCTCCTTGGCTTGCCACAGTGTCCTTCAGCTCCTACGGAGCACAGAAATATGACGGTCTTTCGGAAAGCATGGCGCGCCCATACGTCGGCACACGATTTGTGTGGTGCTCTGGGGAAGATTCGAGGCACTCCACTGGGCGACACAAGATCTCAGACTACAAGTTACTCACACGGCTGCACATGGGCGTAACAGTGAAACTCACGGCTTCAGTCAAACTCCTCGGCCAGCGCCTTGAGGAGCCCAGCAGGTGTCGGATCTTTTTCAGTGCTCATGTAGCGACGGAGGAAGTCCAGCACCTCTTGGTACATCTCCCCTTCGACTCCGGCGGGTCCGCGTGTCGCAACCGACGGCGTAAGCAGCGAAGTAATGGCTCTCACTATGTCGGAAAACTCTCCGGAAGTGGCCCACGTCTGGTCCTCGGTGCTCCCCAATGGCCTGTCTTGAAGGTCATGAATGAAGTCTACCAGATGGCTTTTCCGTGCATGTTCTGGCCATGCCCGCATCTGTTCCGCATAGTCTCGGTGTTCGAGATTCATGCGCAGGCACATGTTGAGTGTCTCATCCCCCGTCGGGGCCGCAAACCGGGACTCGAGGATTTGCAGCTGGCTTGGATGCACGTCAAGGTCTTGGGCGACAAGCTCCTGAATTCGGCTCTCCCGAGTATCCCTCGGCAAGTCATCAAAATCCATGTCCCTGGGCATAATGCCTTCCTGGGAAGACCCTTGCAGCTCGACATGAAAGACACACCTGTCACTGTTCGGCTCCACAACAAGTGGGTCAAACTCCAGAAGTGGGTCCAGAAAGTTCTGGACTCTCTGCTCAAGCTCCTGCTGAGTGTTGGCATCCATTTGCAGCCGTTGGCGAATTACATTGCGCACATTGTAGAGGAGTTCGGCTATTTCCTCCTCTTGGCTGCGCTGCAAGAGAGCATCAACTTTTTCAACCAGGTCGTAGAAGGCTTTGGTGTCCCCGATAATAAGGTTGCGGCCTCGCCCGTTTTCGATCGCTTCCTCTTCGATCGTTTCCTCTGCGAGGCGTTCAATAGCTTCTCTCAGCTCGTGCCAGCGCTGATGACTTAGAATTTCTTCCCACCGCGTTCGCCACTCCCCAGCCATGGTTGTAGTATCAGTTGCACAGTTCAGTTCTTGCTTCAGAATGCGGGTTTGAGGTGAAGAGCGAGAAAGAACATGTATCAGTACCTCTTGTTGGTACAGTCTCTGGGCTTTGAATCGCCGAGTCAGGTTGGACATGTCACTTATCACTGACATGTAATTAAAACCAAGACCCTCAAATACCCTGGACCCTTTTTCTCCAAGGAGCTCCACTGAGTGCCCCCACAGACCTGTAGCCGGTAGCCTCCTCACTCCCAGCAAGCCCTAAACACTCAAGTCTAAAACCTTCACGAACTCCTTGTAAGTCCTAAACCGTCAATCCTAACCTAACCTCTACAGTGCTGCTTCCCAGCTGATTGGCAGAGTCGAAACATCCCTAAACCCTTAACCCCATAGGACCTTAAATATATGGGTTTTAACCCAATCCGAATTAGTGCCTTGACTGCATCCGTCTTCGGAAAAGCAGGTTGCCGAGTTTCCGGTTCGGTAGTTCGAATGTATCCTCCTACAGGGCTAATTGAGGCATCGTGTCCTACAAAGTTTTGATTTCGTAATTAACTAAACGGTTCAGGATTTGGGTTCAGGGTTCAGGGCTTCGAAATTCTGTACGATTCACGAGGGGAGGGGGGCGGGGAAGCGCAGCAGTGCTTAGGCTCTAGGCCCCTGACCAAAAGCCTCAACTATGACGAAGATAGGAGCTTCAAGATTCCGTTTGGGAGTCAATATAGTACACACACACATATATATATTCATATACATATGCACGAACAGAGAATGCTGGTGCTATTTTGTCGCACCACAAACTATGAGCTGACCCCCGCACGCATGTGCGAAATATATGCGTAATCAAACCAAGCCCTGCAGCGCCCAGAGACACAGCCCGAAAGCCAAAGAGGCACCAACATTGCTCTAATGCCCTAAAAGCCTAAACTGCGCAGAAACAAAACCAACGACACTCACAACCACACACACAGAGGAGGCTCAGACAAAAACAGCGTGACAAGAAATGTATAGATCCACAAGCCACAGAACTGGAGGAAAACATAGCAGAGCCACGAAGCCAACCAGGAATGCACCCTGACATCCAAGAACCCTCCAAATCGCCAGGTGTCTTGTGAGCCTCAGGCGCTTCGCGAACATCGTGCAGCGAAGAGACACTGAGCAAGCAGAGAGCCACAGAGTATGATAGTTAGGATCGTGTGCACGGGCTGCCAGTTTGTTGTGAGAGCGCGCTCATGTGCGCCACACCTACACGTCCCAAGATCGCCCAATCACTCAGCACGAAGGGCATAGTTTCAATAAGTATACACACTGCCGGTCCCAAGAGTGCTGATTGCGAAGCCCAATGGGATGGTCGAACGTATTGAAAAAGCTGCGGCGCTGACCGCAGGTGAAAATATCAGTGTCTGCGCCTTCGCTATTTCTGTCGACTGCAGGCGTATAGTTGTTGTATGGTTGTGGTGATTATGATTATGATTACTGGCAATACTACATCATACATATGTATATACACATAGATACATACATACATACATACATACATACAGACAGACAGACAGACAGACAGTCATAAAATGCATGTGCACACACACACACATATATATATATATATATACACATATTCATGCACATGTATACATATATATATATACATATACATATATGCGCAGTGTTTGTGTGTATATATGCATACCTGTATGTGTGTGTATATATATATATATAGATGGTAGCCCTCCCCATGAACTACCGACCCTCGTTTTGTATCGTAAATACCGTGTTAAACCTGCTTTTCCGGCAGGTCCGGATTCTGTATCTTGCAAAGACTGCCAAAATCGAACTCACATTTCAAGGGAAAGTGCTAGACAACTCGTTCAGGTTCGACGTGAGCACGCACTCAAC